GCCGGAACGAACTCCGGAACGCACTCCGTCCGGTGCGACGGCAATGTCGCAGCTTCACACGCAAGACGATTCGAATCGTCTACACTTCTCGCTCAAGATCGCACAGAAACTTGATGAAAAGAATTTTCACCTCTGGCGACAACAAATCGAACCGTATATCAACGCTCACGAACTCACTGAGTTCGTCGTTTGTTCACGAATTCCGCTTCAGTTTCTTGATGATGCTGCTCGTGCGTCTGGATCTATCAATCCAGAGTATTCGCGATGGTTGCAGAAGGATCAAATGTTGCTCTCTTGGTTGCAATCCACGCTATCCAGTGAAATCCTCTCTCGTGTCCTTGGCTGTTCTCATGCTCATGAGCTTTGGGATCGTCTCTTTAACTACTTTCAAAAGCAGACGCGAGCACGCGCTCGTCAACTTCGTGTTGAGTTACGAACGATTTCCTTGGAGAATTCCACGGTTCAAGAATTTCTGCTCAAGATTCGCAATACTGTTGATGCTCTTGCATCTATTGGAGATCCGGTGCCTGCGTCACATCACATTGATGTGATTCTTGAAGGACTTCCATCAGATTTTGCACCTGTTATTTCTGTCATTGAAAGTAAGTTTGGAGTAATGGATCTTGATGAAGTGGAGATTCTTCTCCTTGCTCACGAACTTCGCCTAAACAAGTTCAAAAAGGTTTCAACACCTGATCTTGTTTCTCTCAATCTTACGCACTCTACTCCCGCTCAATCCACTCCTGATGAGAGTGTAGTTGCCACTACGGAATCTCAGCCTCCTACACAAGTCCAGTCCTCTGATTCTGATGCTTCACACTTTCGTGGTGGTCGTTCCTTCAGAGGTGGACGTTCAGGCAGGGGTAGAGGTGGGAGATTCTCCTCTACTATTCAGTGCCAAGTTTGCTCCAAACCTGGCCACACAGCTCTCAATTGCTGGCATCGATTCAACCAGCAGTTTCAGCCTACCTATGGTACTGCCTACAACAATCAAGCCTGGACTACCTCTCCTACTCCTATGGCTGTGCAGGCTTCACATGCTTGGACCAGGCCTCAAGCTGTCTATAGAGCTGCTCCTGTTGGTGCAGCACCTAGTGCTTATGTTGCTCAAGCTGCATCTACAGCCTCTGCTAACAGTGCCTGGTATCCTGATTCTGGTGCTTCATATCATGTAACAAATGACCCTAAGAATCTTCAACAGCTGGTTCCTATTGAAGGTCATGATCAAATCCTGATTGGAAACGGGCAAGGTTTGACTATCACTTCCTCTGGCACTAGTCAATTCCAGTCACCTTCACAGTCTCATACACCTCTTATGCTCCATAAGCTCATGCTTATTCCCTCTATTACTAAGAATTTAATTAGTGTCAGTCAATTTTGCCTAGATAATGCTGTTTATTTTCTGTTTACCTCTGACAAATGTCTTGTTAAATCCCAGGCATCTCATGAAGTTCTCCTAGAGGGTTCAGTTGGTCCTGATGGCTTGTATGTGTTCCCTCCTATTGACTTGTCTAAGTCCAGCTCTGTGGTTTCCACCAGTTCCAGCTCTCAGGCTTCAGCTCCTAGTATTAATTCTGCTGTAGTTTCATCTCATGTTGATAGATTTAGTACTTCAAATAAGTGGCACTTAAGGTTAGGGCATCCTAACATTCAGACACTTAAACTTGTACTCAACAGTTGTAATGTTTCATTCAGTAATAAAGAGTTGGATTTTTTCTGTACTGCTTGTTGTATGGGTAAGTCTCATAGACTTCCATCATCACCATCACACACTACTTACACCAGACCTTTAGAATTAGTGTATGGAGACTTATGGGGACCTTCTCCTAATGTGTCTACATTAGGCTTCAAGTACTACATGTCATTTGTGGATGCCTTTTCCAAATTCACTTGGATTTATTTTCTGAAATCTAAAGCTGAGGCACTGTCTATTTTCAAACAATTTAAGGTTCTGGTTGAATTACAACTTGGCTGCTCCATTAAGGCTTTTCAATCTGACTGGGGGGGTGAATTCAGACCATTTAATAAGCTTCTTTCAGAACTGGGCATTGTCCACAGAGTTGCCTGCCCTCACACTCATCACCAAAATGGTGTGATTGAAAGAAAGCATAGACATATAGTGGATACAGGACTTACCTTGCTAAGTCAGGCATCTATGCCTCTGCCCTATTGGGACTTTGCCTTCTCCACTGCTGTCTATTTGATCAATAGACTCCCTTCAGCTTCTGTTGGTTCTCAGGTGCCCTATTCCTTACTCTTTGGGATCAAACCTGACTATTCCTTTCTCAAGGTGTTTGGTAGTGCTTGTTTTCCTCTTCTAAGACCCTATTCTACTCATAAGTTTAATTTCAGGTCTCATGAATGTCTGTTTCTAGGCTACTCAACATCTCACAAAGGCTATAGATGCCTCTCTCCATGTGGTAAAGTCTACATTTCTAAGGATGTTTTGTTTAATGAGTCAAGGTTTCCTTACCTTGATTTATTCTCCACCACTAAACCTATTCTGCATCCTAATACTTCTTCTCATGTCTCTCTCTCTCCTTTACCTATTTTCACCACTCCATCATCTATTCTTTCTCCTTCTGTTGGTCCTTCATCTGCTCCCACAATGCCCTTTAATAGTCAGTCTAGTCCTCCTTCTGCTACATCTTCTGTGTCTTCTCATTCTGCTGCAGGTACTCATTCCTCTCCTGTGGGATCTTCTGGTAGCCCTGCTCCTTCTGAATCTCTTCAGCACACCACCTCTACTGCCACTGATGAGTCCTCTTCTCAGTCTGTCAGTCAAACAAATGAGAATTTAGCACCAGATTCTGTCACCATTCCTCCCAAAGCAGTACCTGTATCAGCTGTTCCCATTAATCATCATTCCATGACCACAAGAGCCAAAGCTGGCTTCAGACAACCTAGACTGGAACCTAGGGTTTTATTGACAGTTGCTGAACCTAAGTCAGTAAAACAGGCTCTTGCTAGTGCTCAGTGGCTGGCCGCTATGCAAGCAGAGTATAATGCCCTAATTTCCAACAACACTTGGACTCTTGTACCTCTGCCACCTCATAGGCAAGCTATTGGCAGCAAGTGGGTATTTCGTGTCAAGGAAAACCCTGATGGCTCCATTAATAAGTATAAAGCAAGACTTGTTGCAAAAGGTTTTCATCAAAGGGAAGGGTTTGATTTTAATGAGACATTTTCTCCAGTTGTTAAACCCATTACAATCAGGATTATTCTGTCTATTGCTCTTACCTACAACTGGTCCATACAACAGCTGGATGTCAACAATGCTTTCCTCAATGGATTACTTGATGAAGAAGTTTATATGGTTCAGCCTCAAGGTTTTGAGCACTCTGACTCTTCATTGGTGTGCAGATTGAATAAAGCAATCTATGGCCTCAAACAAGCCCCTAGGCAATGGTTTGAGAGACTTCAAACAGCTCTTGTGCAGCTTAAGTTTCATCCTAGTAAGTGTGATCCTTCACTCTTCACTTATTTTGAAGGAGGCCATACTGTCTATCTACTTGTCTATGTAGATGACATTATTATTACTGGCAGCTCTTCCTCTTTACTGCAGTCTATCATCACCAAGCTTAATGTTTCCTTTTCTCTCAAGCATTTGGGTGATCTGGACTACTTTCTTGGTATTCAAGTCACCAAGACTGCTTCTCAATCTTTGCTTCTCACACAGTCCAAATACATCAAAGACTTACTGCATAGGACTAATATGCTGGAGTGTACACCTGTAGCTACCCCTATGCAATCTACCTGCAAGCTTACAAAGGTGGGCTCACCTCCACTGACTGATCCTTTTATGTACAGGTCAGTGGTTGGTGCTTTGCAATATGCCACCCTCACTAGGCCAGATATAGCCTATGCTGTGAACAAGGTGTGTCAATTTATGGCACAGCCTCTTGAAGCTCATTGGGTGGCTGTCAAAAGAATTTTGAGGTACCTCAAAGGTACCATCTCCCATGGCCTGCATCTGACTGCTCTTACACCCTCTACTTCACCTACTATTAAGCTGTTCTGTGATGCTGACTGGGCCTCTGACCCAGATGATAGAAGAAGTACCTCTGGTGCTGCAATATTTTTTGGCCCTAACTTGGTCTCCTGGTGGTCCAAAAAAGCAACATGTAGTAGCTAGGTCCAGCACTGAATCTGAATTCAGAAGCATGGCTCATGCTGCAGCTGATTTGCTGTGGATTCAAACCCTTCTTCAGGAACTATTCATCTCTTGCAAGACTCCCCAGATTTTCTGTGATAACCAGTCTGCAGTTCTTCTGGCACATAATCCTATTATGCATACTAAGACCAAGCACATGGAGATTGACCTCTTCTTTGTCAGAGAAAAGGTGCTTAGCAAACAATTACAAGTTGTGCACATCCCAGGCACGGATCAGTGGGCTGATGTGCTCACTAAACCATTAGCTTCCACTGCTTTTTTGACTCTTCGGCACAAACTCAGAGTAGTTGCCTCCTCCTGAGTTTGTGGGGGGGGTATTAGAGAAGATATTGCTGTATAGTAGAAAACTGCCACCTGGCAGTTTCCACCTCTTGGTTACCTACTGTAACCGGTGCCCTGTTCCTATATAAACAGGTGTCACCTCTTTGTAATCTGTGTAAAAGCTTTTATGAATAACAGAAAGTAGTTACAGATGGAAACAAACTTTCTCTACTCTCTCTATCTTTCTAACAATTGTGATTATAAAAGAGAGAATATTATATTTTTATGTTTTAATTAATAAAAAAAAATGCCATTGATTGTTTGTAAAACAAAGAGTTAAGTATGTTTCTACCTAAGTTTTTTCCATCAAACAGTTGGCATCTTTACAATGGGCCTTCTGCTGTAGTTGTTCGATGCCTTTTGCTGTAATGGATAAAATACATGTTCTACATGTTGTTCCTGTTACCACAAATTTTAGTAATAATATATAAGAAAAAATAAAAATAAAACAATATAAACAAGTGAAAATATATAAACTGAAAATAGAATATGCCGAAAGTATTTTTCATGAACATTCAATTTGTATGTGTGTGATATAAGAAACAACCATGGTTGTTGAACTAATATAGGATAAAACTGTTGTTACATTAATGTCAATACATTTGGTCTGGGGGTAACTCTTTGCACTTAGCAAGCTTCCCGTTGCTACTTCCACTAGTTCTTTGTTTGCCTCGCGTAATCGGAGGCAAAAAAATAATAGTGAAAGTAGCAAAAAGAAGCTCTTAAGATTTAGCACCATTCCATATTTATCATACACAAAAAAGCAAAGTTAATTGTTAAAATAATGTACAGTCACAGCCACACTTCCTTCAACTTGTACACTCCCTTCTATGCCTTGTCTTTTTTGTTTCAAAAGGGGCTGCTGCACTATTTTCATTTTGATTTGCTGCACTGCTACTACCATACGAGCTAAATTCATCAAAAGCTACATTTCAACACTGGCTAACTACTAATTCTAACATATAGAGATAATACACAACAAAATAAGAGGGACGACTATCTACCCTATTGCCAATTACAAAACTCTAAAGCCACAAAAGACAACAGTGCCTCTCTACCATTGATTTGGGACAACCTTTAAAATCGAAGGTAGAAAAACAACGTCGTTTTTTGTGCATCTAGAGTTGTGTACTACTATTACCCTTCAACTGTTTCCACTACGAGTTATTCAGAGAAAAGATGACCTCGAGTCACTTGTTAGCCTTCAAGTCATAATTTCCCATGTCATAACTTCTCAAGTCATCACTTCTCCACCATTTATTAGTGTTTAGGTCATAACTTTCAGACCATTTTCTTACTCCATGGTCATAGTTTTTAGATCCTTTTTTAGCTCCCATGTCATCATTTCCCAACCAATTTTTTGTTCCTATGTCATTATTTCCTGACCATTTCTTCTTTTGGATCTTTGACTTTTCCGGATCAACAATATCAAGAGCAGCAATAATGCATTTGCGGTATGAAAAATCTTCAACAGTCCCATCCGTTCGTATTATAAAAAAGCATCGGCTATCTGTAAACTTGGGATGCCATCCAACCTGTGAATAAACAGGAAAAAAATGCTTGGAGCTTTATAATACATGCATTTAACTGGTAAAGAGTTTGGTGAAACCAAAATGCACACAACACAAGCATCTCCTTCCTAGAGTCAGTTTAGATAAGCTAAAAAACATGACTTCTCAAAATTACTTCCAAAATTTTAAAGGCTTTGTTTGAGCAAAAAGATAAAGGGAGGATCAATTATCCACCTTGTTTGGAAGGGATAAACCCCTATTTGGGGGAAAAAGAAAAAAAAAACATAAAGGGAGGACTTTAGAGGGCTATTAAGAAATTTCAGACTCTTTCTCTCATTTTTAAAAAGTTTCAAACAAGGGGAAAGCTGACCAAAAGCCTCTTCTTCCCCTCCCCTCAGAAACCTCTAAACAAACGCTAAGAAATCTCAGAACAACTGAGTTTTTTAACATTAGACTTCTACATCACATGTATAAACCAATGTAAGCACACATACCTTTATGTCTTGTAGTCCAGAGCCAAGCTTCTCATTTTTATGAGGATGAAAATGCAAAACCCTCATTATTGTTGACTTGTCCCTCTCACCTAGTATCTCATCAACTGGATACCTACACAGACAACATCCAAAGTTGAAAATTATTCTGCAAAGCATATATCATAAATTAAAGTAGGGGAACCAACCTAGCCACCAAATACAACTATTGTCCAATAAATATATAGCTCATGTTTAGTAGCAATAAACAGAAAACGCATAGTTATTAAAAACTAAGAAACTTTCAAATTAGAGGGACTTATTTATAGATATATGAAATAATAGGGATTGGCAAATTGCAAAAAAATATGATTGACTGTGCCCCTTAATGATTATGAGGCAGATAATACTTGTGGGGAAGCATTTAACTGCAAGAAACCATAATGGCAGGCATAATGATATATACAACCTTCCAGTGCCAGCTGTGTTATGTTTAGTTTAATATTAATGAATCCTATATATCATAATGTCAATATCACTACATAGATACAGTGATTTATGCCATCAAATGCACAGACAACCATTATTAACCCATAGATAAGCTATCTGGATCAACTTACTTGTTCAGAATGAACCTTGATGCAGTAGTAAGCTTCCGAATATCATTTACAGTAATGTTATTTCTTATAGCACTTTTCCACTGCTTAGACTCTTTGGGAGTGTAACCACCATTTTTATACCTAAACTCTGAATTGCAATTTCTGGATGAATATTTGTGAGATTGAGGGATATCAGTGTCTTGTTCAAGCTGGTCAAAACTGGTTTCTAGCAGGCCATACACATCTACAGGCTTCTCAATTTCTTGTAACTGTTAAAAACAACCACCATAGTTAAACTTACTAGAAACAGCAAAGTAAAGTCTATTAATTGATAATGGGAAATTGAAGAACAAAGTATTACAATAAGAAATTTAATTGAAGTTCATATAATTCATTATGTATGGTTATATTTGTACAGGGAAAAAAACAATGAGAAAGTCTAGAGTAAGTGCCAGCATGATACATTTTTGTGAGAACAGTTGCCAAAAGCTTATAATAACAGAAAATCTCCATGACATTTTTAGGAAAATAAAATTTACTTAAACATAAAACCTGCGCACAGTTGCTCATTACATTTTAGGGGCTTTTTGAAATTGGAGCCATATGAATGATCAATCAAAACCTCATTGGAAGCTAGAAGTTAATAGATAGGAAAATAAAACCTTACCTTCTCTGAGTATATAATATCAAACTGACCACCTGTCCCCATGGGGAGACAATTACCCCAAGCCAATGCATCTAGGCTGCCCTGGAGATCATCTACGACTCCAGACTTTGCAGCTTTTAAAAAGGAAGTGCCGGGATTCTGCAATAAGATTCCACAATTTCAGCATGAATTATACATGTTATCATAAATTGTAATCTCATTGCATTAAAAAATATGAATCATTTGATTGGAATCATAAATGCAAAAACTGACAGAAAAGCATGCTTGCACGAAGGGTGATGAAACAGCTGCATGTTTTCTTTGGCGCGCCATGCCTTTAGCATTTAATCCCACAAACTCTCCACAAGCTGAAAGACTATTGGCAACAAGACGCAGATGCTTGGGAAGGATTGACTTGCCAGTGTCAGATGTTGCAGACGACAAATTCTGCATGTAAATATCATATGCTAGTACATTAAATACACATCTCCATAACTTTCAGATAGGAAAATATTATAAAGGAGGGAAATTTATTTACATGGAGATATTGCTGCCACCCTGCATCGATTCCAAAGGCTGAGCAGAAATGATGAATGTTATCAGGATGACTTCGTGTCCAGTCAATCAACGGCATTATTCTGTGACAATGGTTTATCAGTGAACCCCAGAATGCACCGCTGTCATTGTCAGTGGACATGGTAACCCTCAAGTATAGTTCACCAGAAGAACCATAAGATTTCGATACTTTTGGAAGATCCTTCCAGAGAATGTCAACCTTCTTGATCTCCAAAAATCCTAAAGGACATTACGAAAATTCATGATAGTAGTAAATGTTGGCATATTTTACATTTACTAGAACTAGCAATATATAGTCAGGTATACATCAAACCAGATATTGACATATTTTACTTCCTGATCAGTTTTTAGTGACCTAGTCCTCTGACCACATAGAACCTCAATTATTCATACAAGAATTATTCATAAAAGTTACAACTACGCTTTTAACTCCATATACCAAAAAGATCTTAGCTCTATCAAGCTCTCATAACAGTAAAGTTGGAACCATCAAATTGATACGACTATACATAAGAAAAGTTCAACTGTCATGATGTAGCAAAAACAAAATTTGAACTAAAACAGTTTAAGAAATGTACCAGGCATATTCTCTAAAAGGATTTTTTGAAAATCATCATTATAAATTACAGATGGATATTCTGATTAGATTACTACCAACCTTTTATAGCTGTTTGCAGAAGTAAAGGTATCAAAACATTCCGAACAGCATCCAGTTGTTCAGAGTTCTTAGAGTCTTCGACAAGTGTGACGGTGATGCAATCTTCACTGTCTTTTTCCTTATAAACAGAGGTTTCTCTACTTTCCTTTGCCATGCAATCTATACAACATTTCCTGCTATTTCATTGTCTTGGTTAATAGCTATGGTAAAAACTCCAAGCAAGAATAAGAATTTAAGTAAAGAAACTTAGATGATAAAAACTGTTAATAGTCTAGTCAATATTTTTCATTCCTTAAGAGTCACAAAATTATAGTCAAGCCAATCACACATGGCCTCTGTTCATCCTTGATCAAAACTGAAGCTTACAATTAGAGATGGCAATGGGTATCCATGGGTACGGGTACTAGCTTCCCGCTACCCGGCCCGTTTAGTAAATATGATACCCGCCCCATACCCGCGCGGGTATCCGTTAGACGGGTCTCCGCGGATTTTGAGATATCCACGGGTATATACGGGTATCCATGGATACTTTTATTTAAATATTTTTTAAAATAATATATATATATATATATATAACAAACTAAATTTTTTATCCCCTTTAAAGAAAAATAATAGTTTCAAATTTAACACATAATAATAATAATAACAAAAATAAATCACATTCATTTTATTTCCTCTTTTTTCAAATAATTATATTACATTGAACAAAATAAAAATAGTATATTTAAGTAATTTTGCGAATTATTAACGGATACGGATACCCACGGGTACGGGTACCATCAAATCCGTATTTGCACCCGTAAGTAAACGGGTAACTAAATATCTGTTTATTTTACCTGTGGATACCCATTCAGCCATCCTATCCGTGCCCGTGATGGATTTTACCCGCGGATACGGGTTTTTTTACCATCCCTATTTACAATTATCTTGCCACTTATTAAAAAATGTTCTACACATATATTTGGCATATAGAGCAATACTGAATGCAAAAAGCTCACCCACAATATTTGATACTGACAATTATTGGACCAAATAATATCCCAATTTCCTGTATAATGGTCTTGTTGTAATTGAAATAGAATGCATAGTTCCATTACACTAAATCAAAATTTTAGAACATCCACTATTTTTCTACCTTCGTTTCTGATTTTCAATCTTTCTCTTCCGTTCTATTGTTTGGAAAACTCTTTTTAGTGATGTATAATATTTTACCAATGCAAGAGGATTTCAGTTCTATAAAGGAGCTGTACCAAAGTTATTGAAAGTACCAAAGTTTTCA